TTTCCCTGAGGAGGTGTATGCTTGGGGAATGACATGGGTGTGCGTGCGTGTGCGTGTGTGTACCCGGCTCAGACCCACACAAGCAAAGGGATGGGGTACGATTTCCACCTTGGTCGTCAACCCTACTGCCTTCTTGGTTTGCCTGCCTTGATGAAGCGTGTGTGGAGGTTGGAGAAGCCCACGGAGCTGGGAACGGAGGGATGCTCCAGGCTGTGGCCAGTTAGGCACTGAGGAACTGAGTCCTGCCAACAGCTACGTGAGCTTGGAAGCCGACCCTTCCCCAGCCCAGCCTTTAGCTGAGACCCCAGCCTGGCCATTGCCTTGGTTACAGCTTGTGAGAGACCCTGAGCAGAGGAGCCAGCTAAGCTGTGCCTGGACGCCTCGACCCACAGAAACTGAGATGACAAACCACTAAGCTTGTGATCCTTTGCTATGTAGCAATGGAAAACGAATACCCAGTGTTCTGTGTGTTTCTGCTTAGTCCACCCGTGGCTCTCTCTCGCAGTCACCTGCCCGTATGGCCCAGGACAGCCTGCAGGAGCCTGCCTCATCTCAGCTAATTCTTAGACTGATTATGCTGGCCGCCTGCACAGACCGGGGCAGTGTCCCCTCACCCACTGGCTGACTCCGGGCAAGGCACTGTTCTAAGTGCTTTACACACACACGCACACACGCATGCACGCCGAGCTCATCACCGGTACTGGTGCGCCAGCAGAGAAGGAAGAAAGTATGTCCACCTCTTGTGTATGATACAAGGCCAGGCCCAGGAGGGGACCATGGGCAGGGTTCTGAGGGTCACAGATGCTTGTGCCAGTTTCCTTCCCAGCCCATTTCTGTGAAATCCCCCCACCCCAAAAGAAGTAACCCCAGGCGGTCCCAGCTCACCCAAATAATAACTGAGTGGCATTTACTGAGTGCTGATGGCTTCACAGGCAGCGTATCACACAAGCCTTCCTACAACCCTACAAGGTGAGTGCACCAAAGACCCTATTTGACAACTGAGGAAACTGAGGCACAGGGAGGTTAATGCCGCTCCTCCCAATACCCAATGATCTAACCAAAAGCAACCTTCTTTAAAGCACCGAAGTGTAGAACTTAGGAGCATTGACTCAGAAGCCAAACTCGGGTTCAAATTCAAGCTCAGCTTCTCTGCAGCTGTGTGATCTATAGACAGCTCTCAGTTTGTTCACCCGTAAAATTGGAAGATGACAGTAACTACCTCCAGGTCCACAGACTGTACAGGGCTTGGCATTGTGTCTGGCTCCAAACAGGACATAAAACGCAGCCGTCACTATTACTCTATTTTGAATCAGCTGCTGGTTCTTAAAGCCTGATCGTTCCAGGCCCCTCTGCGTGACTTGAGCAAAGAGCCACAGACACCATGTAGGGAGCTTGAGTGTCAGAAGCGCAGAGGGATGGGTAAAATGGTGAGGCCTGTGTGAGCCGTGCCGCCTCGCAGGAACAGAAGCCCTGGAAAGTGAAGTCCCCCCGCAAGGATTTGGGAGGGAGGCAGAAGCTGAAGGCCTTTTTAGGTAGGTGAGCCTTGCCGCGGGCACCCGTCTCCCTCCTCTCCCCCCTCCCCAGGCAGGGGGCAGAAATGTGGTGCCGGAGAATCCCCAGGGTGTCCCCACCCCCACCCCCCGCCTTACCTCTGCAGTTGCTTCCCCAGAGCGTCTGTCACCAGTATGCCGTTCTCCACCTGCTTCACCTCCTTCCCTGGCCTGCCAACACCTGCTAAGCCTGGCAGAAAGCAGGGAGGGGGAATCGTGGCTTTAAGAGCTGGACACCAAAACCTGTCACTGTGCGGGGAGATGGCAGATAACCTGGCCTCCCGGAAGCTCAGAAAGACCTGCTTTGCTGCAGCCATGGACAGGCTCCCCAGCTGGGCTGCAGGAGATATGGAGCCAGCTTCCTTGGGGCAGGGATGGTGCTTTGCAAGGGCCCTGGGCCCGAGCAAGTGCCCTGTGCCAGCAGCAACCAGTAAAATCCAGTTCTGGTGATGGCATCTGTGCTGTGTGAAGCTCGGATAATGGAGCCAGGACACAGTGAACCACTTGGGGGAAAGGGCACAGTCCTCTGGTCCCCAAGCATCCCAAGCAGGGGTGAAACCCAAAATAAATGACAACCAGTTTTGACAAGGGCATCAGACACTAGAGTCCCAGATGCCCCCAGCCAAGAGTTAACCCTCTGTTTGCCGGATCAAGGGGAGGGCCTGAAGATCGGGGTAAGGGGTACCGGGGACTCTGCTAGGGCAGTGGCTGCTTTTCCAGTAATAAGGAACTATCTCAACACTTCAACAACTGATACAGCCACCACGGGGCACCATACCAGCCGGATATCTGCCCCAATCCCGGGAAGTATCTGCCCAGCATCAACAATGATCACAGTCACCTTAAGAACGGTGGCTAACATTTATCGTCAGCCACTGTGCTGTGTTGAAATACAGTCTCTCCTTTAATCTTCCAGCAACTCAGTGATACGTTTATTACCACCCACTTTGCACTGATTTCCTCACTCTTTGGTGCCAGGACAGAGAAAGCAGGAGAGAGAAGCATAAGGCAGGGCTCCAAAGGACTGACCCCGGAAGAGGAGGAGATGCAGCACAGACGTTATATGAGGGGATAAATACGCAGCCAGCAGTGACCCTGAGAACATGCTGATGTGACATGAATTAAAGCAGAATCCAGAAAGGCAGGCTCTCTCAGGCATCAGCCACAGGAAGAAACAGAAGATGGAAGGGAACCAGGGCTGGGGGTCATTCCTGGGTTGATGGGAGGAGCTCTGAGCTGGTGATTCTCAATCTTGGCTGTGAATGAATCACCCAGGATGCCCTGGGCCAGCTAGGTCCCTGCACTGACTCTGCCAGGGAGGCCAACCTCCATGCTGAGAGCACAGTCAGGTAGCTGGGACGTGTGGGAAGTGTTCTCTCACTTCCCGGCTGTGGGTACTGTGGAAGCAATGAACCTCTGAGCCTCAACTTCCACATCTGCAAAATGGGAGCAACAACAGCACCTGCCCTCATTAGCGGGAGGACGAAATGAGGTTGTGCCTGGTGTCGGTAAATGTAAGATGCTGATGAGGCGCTTACTGTTATATCTGCATTTTTAAACGTGTCCCACAGGTAATTCTGGGGCACAGCCAGGATTGAGAATCACTGCTTTAAATGTTTCTTTAAATATCAGCATCCTTTTTTTTTTTAATTGGAAAAAAAAAACCTAAAACAAACAGAAAAGAAGAGTGATAACAAGCAGGACTTCCCATGTAGCCTCATGCAGACAGTGCTCATATACATGCACAGCACTGGGGCCCAAGCCCAGCCTTGACTGTCTTGCTCTGTGCAGAGATGGGGATGCTTTAAAACACTCCCAGAGATACCTGTCCTGCGGCAGGTGCTTCAGAGAGCCCTCTGTCCTGCACGGCTGCCCAGGGGCCCTCTGGGAGCCTCAACCTTCCCTCCCCCTCCTGCTTCCCACACAGTAGAGGCCCCCACATTGGCCTCCATGGCTGCCTCCCCGTCTTCTCCACCCAGTTAGCCCACAGGTGATATGCCAACCGGGGCAGCTGGAAAATTCTCATCTGCAAGGGAGGGACCGAGAGTCCTAGGAGGGGAACCGAACGTGTGTGCCGCACCACCCCATAATTTTCAGGGGCTTAGTCCCCCTCCTCCCGAGTCTCCCAGGCCTGTCTGCCAGGATGCCCAAGCTCCCCAGCCAAGGGGGAAGCTGCCCAAGGCCAGCCTATCAGAACCCCTCCCCCCAGCACTTTCAGCCATCGGTGGCCTCAGGACCAAAGATCTGTCCAACTGCTCTGTCCTAAAGGGGTCTCACGCCCAGAGTTCCCACTGCCTGAGTCCTGCTTGTTCAGTTTTGCCTTTGATTTCTGAGCTGCCTGTAAACACCCTTGTTTAACTGGCTGGAGTTGGCTCCTGTGGCTTCCAAAAGGGGCCTCTGTCTGGACCCTCAGCCACACGTAGCAGTTACGGAAGACAGGAGGGAGGGGGTCTGCTCTGGTGGCGGGTTCACACTTTTCTGTCACCAGAGGGAGCCAGGGCAGCCTTCCCTGCTGAAGTTCTTCTAGAAACATCCCACCTCCGGTGCCCCAGCCACCTGCAGCTACTCCATCAGGAACCCACCACCCCGGTGCTGTGTTGGCCTGCCTGGGTCTTGATCATGCCCAGGAGGTACGGGTGGGGTCGTTATAATCAAACTGTTACATTCATTGTCCACCTACTGTGTGCCAGGCATTTCGCAACCAGGATCTCCTTCAAGGCATGCTGGTCACGGTCATTTGACCTGCAAAGCTGGTAAAGCTTAGCCGAGGTCACTCAGCCGACCTGTAAGAAATCTGGAGATTCGAACTGTATCCCCAAGGGCCAACCACAAAGCCGGGCACAGAGCAGGTGCCCAATAAATGCTGGAGGAATGATGGAAAGGGATGGAAAGGCAGACATTCAAGGGTCCCTTCCCAGGCATGCAGCAGCAGGACAAGCCCATCTGCAGCCTCATTCTGCAAGCACAGCCCACTCCACCTCGCTGTCACTGACCTTCCTCATCCATCACACTGGTGCCTGGGAATTCACAAGACCCAAGAAAGCGTTAAGTACCAAGGTAAAACCCCCCAGCCTTGAGTTCCCCCACTTAAATGCCCAGAGGGTTTGGATGAATGTCTTTCCTTAAGGGTGAGGGGCAAGGACAGCTGAGGGACCTGCTGCATTTGTGCCTCGGTTTCCCCATCCCACGTGTTCTGGGCGCATCCCTGACAAGTACACTGCCTGGGCCAGCCCCCTACTCTAAAAGCTGCAAGTGTTCAAACATAAAGAGAGCTAGAAAAATGCAGACAGACCTTCTGTCTTCACGCCTGTTTTCCGAGCACCAGAGGGAGAGAGAGAAAGTATTGCAGAGCGCAGGGCAGGCGTGCCAGCTGGGAGATGACACAGGCCTCTCACCAGCCCACAGCCTCTGCTTCTTCAAGGACACGAACACCTTGCTCTGAGCTAGCTCCACGTGGAGAGCAGGGGAAAGAGGAGGTAACTTGGCTTAGATATCATCTTGGACCCCCCCAGGCTGGGACGGGGACCCCATCTCAGGGTTCTTCCAGCTCCCCAGGGTCGCCTCCAGCACCGCGTTTAGCACGATGATGTCCCTGATTATTTAGTGTTTGTCTCCCCCATCACACTGTGAACTCTTGAGACCATTCCTAGGTCTTATCTACCACTCTACTCCCAGCACCTGGTGCATCCGATGGCCATGTGGGGTTGTACAGGATGTGCACTGCGCAATCCAAGGGGCACCATTTCATATGGTGGCTCATGTACCAGATGTCCCCGTGGTACACAGCAAATAATCAGATGGACGGATTAACAAACGAATGGCCAAGTGAACGAGCAGAGCCACCTTCCAATGCCAGAAGGGGCACAATATCGGCCACAGTGGTGCCATCTCCTAGCCTGAACCCACAAAGATGATTTCTAAACCAGCCCTGAAAGAAATGGGCAACATCAGCTCATGGTTCTTTCCAGTCTGGGATATATACACAGATGTATTAATGTCCGATGGTTACGCAGGGCATGCCTTAAACAATCAAGATGCAACTCATTCAGTCACTTATTTAACACATTTCCTGAGTAACCACTATGCACCAGGCACTGTTCTCAGCCCTGGGGATACAGAGGTGACCAAAAAACCTTCATGGAGCTCAAATTCCAAGGGAGAAGAAGAAATAATCAAGTAGTAGATCCAGAATATACTGTCAGGCAGTGTTAAATGCTACAAAGAAAAATAAAGCAGGGTAAGGAGAAAATATGAATGGTGGGGGGTTGGGAGAGGGAGGGTGCTATAAAATAATTAAGAAGCAAAGACATAAAACTTGCAACCCAATGACTCTTCTTTGAGTACTTCTAAGCACCAGGGACGGGCCTGTGATACTAGTAAGCCAGGCGCCACCCCAGCCCTTGAACCACATACATAAGCACTGCCCGGGCCGTGCGTTCAGCCAGCCACTGACCTTCAAGGCGGGCACCTCGCAGGTTCGCTGTTTATTCTCAAGAAGGTTCTGGAACTCAGCTTGGGCAAGAGCCAGCAGGCAAGCCTCCCCCTCGAGGGAAGAATTCAAGTCACTGCTTTACAGTCAACGGCTGGTTTTTGACCAAAAACGGAATCGATCGGCTACATCACCCAGCCCTATCCTCCCGCCTTGGCCCTGCAAGTTCTTCAGACTCAAAAGGGGAAGAAACACGGACACTGAGGACAGCAGGGAGGAATGTGCCATCTGTCTGACAGACTCTCCAGCTGCTGTCCGGTGCTTACAACAGACTTCTGCAACATGGGGAGGTGCCTGGGACCTGACGTTAAGAAACAAAAGAGGGACAGGAGAACTGATGACAAAAGCACACCCCAGGACCCTACTCTTCTCAGGAAAGAAAGACAGGTGGGAAAGGGGCCAAATGCCAACGCAGTTCCCCTCTGGGCAGTGCAAGAGCAGAAGGATGTTCTTTTTGCTGGTTCTTGGAGCTTTTCTACACTTTGCCATCGTCTACACAGAGCACATAGTGATTTTATAATCAGGTAAAAAAAAAATTCCCCAAAAAATCTGAAAAAGGGAAAAAAATGAGTGACAAGGTTGAGAGATGTCTCGAATAAGGTTCTGAAAAGCAGCCAGGTCGTTGGAATCAAAGTCTTTCTCCCAAGATGACAAGGGAAGAACCTGGGCAGAGAGAAGTCAAAGCAGAGCGGCTTTCACGCCCTCGGCTCTACTGACATCGTGGGCTGGGTGATTCTCCATTCCTGGGGGACAGAGGGGGTTGCCCCGTGCACTGCAGGTTGTTCAGCAGTATCCCTGCTCTCTCCCAACTAGATGCCAGGAGTGTCCCCCTCCACCTGCACTGTGACAACCAAACATGTCTCCAGACATTGCCAAGTGTCCCCAGGAGGCACAAATGTTCTCTACTGAAAACCGCCAATCTAGGCTTTAGGTTCCTAATAAAGAAACCAGAGAAAGTGAAAATGTTCTATAACTTCCAAGTACAAGGTTAACAAACTACTTCGTAACTCTCTTTGCAACCAAAACCAACAAACAAAAAGTCTCCTAGAAACAGGATCATGCATATCCCTGGGGAGGGGTCAGTCTCCCCCGACCCCAAGCCTAGCTACTATTCCCCATTCCAGGGAGAAAGAATCCCCTCACAGCAGACACTTGTCCTTCAGCCTGCGTGTTCTAAAAAAGACCTGATTAATCCAATGAGGAAACAAAAAGTTTCCCTTTAGAAGGAGCCAAAAATGTGGTTCAAACAAATCCAAGGTCACTGGCACTCAGAGCTGACTACAGCTGAGCAAGTCTGGACCCTGACACCGAGCCTTATCGCCGGGGCCCCTCCACAGAGGTGGAAAGAAAGGGGGGAGGCCGTTTGATTTTTAGACCCATGGGCAGAAGACCTCTGTGACCTGTCCAGCTTGGGGATGGGTGGCTGAATTGGGGAAATAAACCCACAGTGGAGCTAGGGTGGTGGATGGTATTTTCACCACTAAATTAAGTGCTGACGTGCACACAAAACAATTTTTTTAACTGGCAGCATTCCACGTTCTGCATAACCTGCTTTGGATATGCGGGCGGCTGGGGTAGAAGGGAAGGGAAAAAACTCAACAAGATATAAGGGACAGTTCCCTGCTCAGCTGGATAGAAAAGGGAGACAGAGACCTCATTCTGGGAAAAAGATTCAGATAAACCCACACATGTCACTTTAGAAAGCACAGAGGGTGATTTTTGCCTAAATGCAGCCCCCACCAAGCAGGCCGGTGACGTACAGTGGCCTTGAAGTTGCCACCACCCATCGTGTGACCTTGGCTAGACTTGGGCTAAGAGACAATCTGAGGAAGGAGACTCTGCAGCAAGAGGAAAGCAGCTTAGACTTACAGCAGAACCTTCCAACCACAGGAGCATGAACAGGTAGAAACTCATTCCAACCTAGAGTTTTAAATGCCGGAGGGAGCGTCAGCTACCTTGCACTGGCAAAAGAAAATACTTTTCTTTGAAAACCCCTGGGGTTTGTAGCAGCACTATTCATAATAGACAAAAAGTGGAAACAGCTCGAATGCTCATCAGCTGATGAATGAATAAATAAAACGTTGTGTGCCTACAATTCAACAATCAGAAGAAATGAAGTGCTGATGCAAGCTACCACAGACAGACCTTGGAAACATCAGGCTAAGTGACAGAAGCCAGTCACAAAAGACCATGTTAAAGAATTCTGTTTATATGAAATGTTCAGAGTAAGAAAAATCTATACAGAAAGCAGACTTGTGTGGCGGTCGCTTTGTGATGTATAGAAATATCAAATCACCATACTGTGCACCAGGAACTAGCATAGTGTTGCAGGTAAATTATACTTCAAAAAAAACCAAAAGAGAGGGCTTCCCTGGTGGCGCAGTGGTTGAGAGTCCGCCTGCCGATGCATGGGACACGGGTTCGTGCCCCGGTCCGGGAAGATCCCACATACCGCGGAGCGGCTGGGCCCGTGAGCCATGGCCGCTGAGCCTGCGCGTCCGGAGCCTGTGCTCCGCAACGGGAGAGGCCACAACAGTGAGAGGCCCACGTACCGCAAAAAAAACAAAACAAAAAAAAAACTACGAGGACTCCAGCAAACTCTAACACAGAGGAATGAAGGTGTGCACTCTTGCTGTGTGCCCTCCCCTTTCTGACATTCAGTGGCTTCCTGCTGCACTGAGAACAAAACCCAGACTCCTCACCCTGAAGGCCCCGAAGGGTAACCACCCACACCCCTGCCAGCCTCGTCTCCCACCCTGTCCCTTGCCCACCACGGTGTGGCCACACTGGCCTCTTCTCTGTTCCTCGAACAGACCAAGCTCATGCCGGGCTGAGGCCTGTGTTGTTCCGTCAGAACACTGTTCCCCACAAAGCGCTTCCCTGACCACCCTGCCTGAGTTGCCCGAACCCCCATCACTCCCCAGCCCATGACCCTACGTGCTTTCCTTCACAGCACTTAATGCTGCATGACACCACCTTCATCTGCTGACTGCTTACTGCCTTTCTCTCCCACTAGTTTCTGAGCTCCACAAGGGCACGATTTGCCTATATTTTGTTTACTTCTGTCTCCTCAAAACCTAGAACGGTACTGTTACGGGCTGAATGATACTGCCCCCCACACACACAACTAAATTCATATACTGAAGTCCTAACCTCCAGTACCTTGGAATGTGACTGTATGTGGACATACGGTCTTTGTAGATGTAATAAGTTCAGGTGAGCTCATGAGGATGGACCCTAATCCTATATAACTGGTGTCCTCATAAGAAGGGGAGATTTGGAGATAGACACACCACAAGGAGAAGAACACCATGTGAAGATGAGGGTGGACTGAGGTGATGCTTCTGCAAGGAATGCCAGAGATTGCCAGCAAACCACCAGAAGCTGAGGGACAGGTATGGAACCCTCACAGCCCTCAGAAGGGACCAACCCTGCTGACACCTTGATCTCAGACTTCCAGCCTCCAGATCTGTGAGAAAAGGCATTTCTGTTGTTTAAGCTACTCAGCTGATGGTACTCTGTTACAGTAGCCCTAGGAAAATAATACAAGCACTTAACACATATTAGGTGCTCAGGAAACACCTACCGAATGACTAAATCAATGAATAGTAAATAGCTTTCTTAGCGATCGGCCCCATTCACAGGGACAGGGACCCGCCTGGCCCAGGCATAGAAGAGACAAGCTTCTTTAAGCCTCAGTTTCCTCACCAGTGAACTGGGAACCACATCCTACCTCTTTCATGAAAAGCTGGTAGGAGGAGTCAACAGGATAACCCCTGTCGAGGACAGAAGCCCCAGTAAGTAGTCAACAACCATTCACTGTTGTGTGTCTTTACATCACAGACACCTCAATGACAACTCTGCCCACAGGAGTTGTGCAACGAGGCAGTCCTGCAGCCCCACCCTGGGGGAGAGCCAAGCTGAGACCTGTCTGGGGACTAAGTATGTAACAAGCACACCCCAGACGCTCAGGGAGTCTGTAATTAGCTCCTGAAAGAGGGAGATCGGAGTAGGACAGGTGACCTCTCTTTAGTTCCACTCTTTTTAGCAACAGCTGAACCCAAAGCAGAAAAGGCATCAGGTGACCTCTTCCCTCTCCGTATTAACTCAGGTCGAGGCTCCGAGCAGGACCGGCAGAGGATCCATTCCAGACATCAATCTGACATAAACACAGGGGAGCCTGGAAAGGCTGCCAACCAATTCCCTGAATTTTAAACCAACGAATAAGAGAGAGAACAGGATTCTCAGAAGCCTCACCCCATTTGCTTCAAATAAAGACAGGATGAGCTCCCAGCCCAGAATTCAAAGCGTGCCTCTGGGACTATCCCTGCTCTCAGAGTCCTGACCTGGGAGGACAGAGCGGGTGTGGTGGCTGGGAAGCGGGCAGGTCTACCTGGACCTGGTAGATGCCAAGTGCATGGGGACATCAGAGGGGCACACTTCCCAGGGAAGTAATAACAGCAGCTGTCATTGGCACCGTGCCAAAGGCTCCAGTAATCCAGCACATTCATTCTACACCAAGTGCCAGAAGGTTGGTTCTGTTGTTACACTGCTTTATCAGCAACAGCCTGACATCACACAGCTGGAAAGAGCAGCAGCTGGGGCTCGAAGCCAGGTCCTGCCAACTTCCAGCCTGCAGGCTCTGCCACCACGTATGGCCTCATGACCCTCACATCTGTTCTGGATTATGGCACATATGCCATTGGCTTCTCACAGCCTCTTGGGAGCCAGGAGGACTGTAATTATCACTACCTCCATTTTTGCCACCAAGACCCTGAAACTCAATAGGCACAGAGCCTCATTGCAGAAAAGTGTGTGGACTTGCGTCCAGCTGTGCTGACCTGGCTATAAAGCACTGGGGCCCCGTCTCAATTCAGCCCTGAAAGTCCTTCCAGATGGTTCCTCAGGGTGCCTGGCCCAACCCCCCATCTGATGCCCTGATGAGCTGCTAGGGTGGCTGGTGGGACCTCCAGGGGACAACTGGGGCTGGACAAGGCACCACCCGCGCCAGAGCCCCGCGCGGCCCTACCGTCGTCGGGCTCCCCCTGCTCCTGCTCGGCGCTGGCATACGTGCGCAGGAATTCGGCAAAGGCCCCGTCCCGGGCCAGCAGCTCCTGGTAGGAGCCCATCTCGGAGATCTTGCCACCACTCATGACGATGATGACGTCCACCTGGGGCAGGTAGCTGATGCCGTGCGTGACCAGGATCCGCGTCTGCGGGCAGAGCCACGGCCACATCAGCGCATGCGCGCGAGAGGGAAATTCCCTGCCCCCCTCCACCCACCTGGACACAGATCTCAACTCTGAGGTTGGACACGCGCCTGGGATGCAAGCGTGCAGAAGCATTCCAATCCGCACGTGCTTTCATTTAACACGCATGTGCCGGGAGCTGGGGTCGGGGGGCAGCAGGGAGGGAAACAAAGATTCCTGCCCCAGATTCCAGGGTCGGGGGAGAAATGACCGACGTAAGTAAAACACTGCTGGATGGTGAGCACACATTACCAAAGGGGAAGGGATACCGAGGTAGTTAGGGGCAGTGCAATTTTAACAAGGGTTATGGGGGAGGTTATTTTTGAACAAAGATCTGGAGGAGAGGGAAGGAGGGGAATCATGCATGTGTAGATGAATAAAAGAATGACACTGCTGCAAAAAATGTGCAGGCAGTAGCTGAATTTTTTTCAAGTTTCTCCCTCTCCGAAAAGAGTACAGAGTTTTGTACATGTGTATACATTTTATCTAACTATCTCAAAGTTTGGGAGGATGTTCATCAAACTGTTTACACAGGTTGGCAAACTTTTTCTTAAGTGGTCAAATGGTAAATATTTTCAGCTTTATGGGCCCTCTGGTCGCTGCCAGGTCTGAAGGCAGCCATACACAAGACATAAACAGATGGGCTGGCTGTGATCCAATAACGCTTTATTTATGGAAGCTGATATGTAAGTTTAATGCAATTTTCCTGTCACAAAATATTTTTTCTTCAGGTTTTCTCCAAGCAGTTAAAAACGTAAAGACCTGGGCTTCCCTGGTGGCGCAGTGGTTGAGAGTCCGCCTGCCGATGCAGGGCACACGGGTTCGTGCCCCGGTCCGGGAAGATCCCACATGCCGCGGAGCGGCTGGGCCCGTGAGCCATGGCCGCTGAGCCTGCGCGTCCGGAGCCTGTGCTCCGCAACGGGAGAGGCCACAACAGTGAGAGGCCCGCGTACCGCAAAAAAAAAAAAAAAACAAAAACACGTAAAGTCCATTCTTAGCTAGTGGGCTGCCCAAGAAACAGGCAGCAGGCCAGATTTGCTGGCCCCTGCTTTCTACAGAGGAGCTAGGGCTGCAGGATGAGGGAGTATCATTTTTTTAACTTTACATATACTCTCGTACTCTCTGGTTTTGTTACTATGGACATATGTTACTTTGACAACAGCAAAAAAATTTTTTTTAATATTTAAAAATTATACAGAATTTTTGTGGTGTGCATGGGAATGCTTACAACACGTTAAGTGGCATGAGGTTTACTATATCTAGGCATGATGTGATAATCCTATTAAAAAGCTTATATACACAGCAAAAAGACTGGAAAGAAATACAAAAATCTCCAAGTGGGGGGATTATGCATAACTGCTTTTGTTTTCCTCCTTCGTGGTTTTCTGAATTTGCTACATTTTTCCCATGGGCATGTCTTACTTTTTTAATGGGGGAGGGGGAGGAAGAGCCAGTTAACCTCCCTCCCCTATAATTCCCCTAAACAAATAAATTAAAAAGTAATAAAAGAGGAAAGGAACCGTTTCCTGTCACGTTAAGGTGTGGTGGCAGTTTTCCTGCTCAAACCTCTGTCCCTCAGCCCATGGCCATCTCAGCAGGGAAGGGAAAGCGGCCTCCCTGCTGACACGGGATCTTGGGGTGGGATTTCCCTCTGCGAAGCCACCCCCGGTTATTTAATCAGGAAGAGAGGCTTCTTTCGGCCAAGTGGAGGCAATGACTTCCAGTCAGTGCCGAGGACGCCCGCCTATAAAGACAAGAGCAAGAAGGCTGTCCCGGGAAGGCTGCCAAGGGAAGGATTAGAAACATGTTCTTGAGTCCAGTTAAGTTAAGGAATCCCAAAGGGGACACACTGCGACTTGACCAAAGAGCGACAGCCAGACCCAGACCCCGAGCCACACGTGCAGCAGGTACCTTGTTCTTCAGCATCCCCTTGGGGCCAACCACGTTTTCAAATATGTGCTTCCCCACATGGGCGTCCACTGCCGAGAGGGGATCGTCAAAGAGGTAGATGTCGGCGTCGCAATACACGGCCCGGGCCAGGCTCACGCGTTGCTTCTGGCCGCCAGACAGGTTCACGCCCTGGGGAGAGACACGTTAGAAGGGTGGGCCTCCTGGGAAGCAGAGACAGACAGAGGGGGCCACCTGCTCGGGATGTAGGAGATGGCGGCCGTAGGCCCTTCAGGGCTGCACCCACCACCCATGGATGGAGCAGGCGGCAACGGCGTGAGATCACACCTGCACCGATGTGGGTTCAAGTCCCGGCAGGGGGTTCGGCCTCAAATGTAAAACAGGCAAAGAGAAAACCTGAGCCTCCGGGCACTGCTGAGCAGGGTACTCAGCACAGTTGGGAAAGGGAGGCTGGTGGCACCAAACAGTGCTAGCTACAGGGAGGACTCCTGATCTTGGAGTCTGGTTCTTACTCTGGATCACTCACTGGTGAAGCCACACAGTCAAGGCAGGCTGTGCCCTGGGGGTGCTGCAATCCAGCCTGTGTCCCACTCGCCGGCAGGAAGGGCACCATTTTCTAATTTGAACCAGGGCGCATGGCCCACACAGCCCTCCTGCAACAGATAACCCAGCATGACTTCCATATCTGGCTGGAATCAAAGTGGACATGGGCTAACTGCCCAGCCCCTCTCCCAACAGAGGCCTACCCTCTCCATGCTCTGAGGTGGGGTCCTGGTAGCCAGGTTCATTTTGAGGGTCCCTCTGGCCACAGCTTGTTGGCCCAGGGCAGACACCAGACCCAATCTAAGCCAATCATGTCCTCTCCCTCCAGAATTTGGTACTGGGACCTAAACAGCGAAAGTGAGGAGTCTCCAAGTGGCAGAAACAGACACTTGTGAAAAAAAAGGGACAAAGCTGTGCAGAAAAGCAGAGACAAAAGGCAGAGGAGAAACCAGGTTGCCTGTCCCAGGTTGCCTGTGAGCCCTACCACATTCCAGCCCTTGGATTCCAGGAAATGCATTTGTATCCTTAAACTCAGTTCTCACTGAGTTATTTTCTGCTTATACTAGCAATAACTCAGGCTCCTTTTCTACTTAAAAACCCAGAAAACCCTAGTAATTTGTTTTTTCTTTCCAAGGAGCTGCAGATTTCCCTCAAATAAAAGAAATCATTCACCAACTAGGAAAGCAGGTGGAGCCACTGGCTTCTAACTAAAAGCAAAGATGGGAAAGCTCTTCGGTGCAGCTGTAGAACATTCACACTCCCCGAGCGCACATCACGTAACCACTAGGGGGCACTCGAGCAAGCCAGCCAGGCAGAGGGGAAAGCGCATGCAAAGGCCCTGAGGTGGGAAGGGGCTCAGGCAAGTCTTTTGGCCTCCTTTTCCTCAACCATTACACAGGGTTAACAGTAAATCCCATCTCATGGCTTGCTGTAAGGACAAAATATGTATAATATGTTTAGCACAGTGCCTGGCTCATAGTAATTACTCATAAGTGTTAGCTATTGTATTATTTTTACCATTATCACAGTTTTGAAAGGAACTGTGGACATTTGAATCACTGACACCCCAACCCCTCTTCTCTGTATAGTGCCCTTGGTCATGTGACAAAGTCACATGACTGCAAAGGTAGAGTGCACTTCCTGGTCCCTTGTCTTTGGGCTCAGCCAAGTGATTTGCTTTGTGGGTAGAAAGGACAGTGTGCTTTAAGGGACATCACACTTTTTTTTTTGTTCTCTTGGGCTTCTGCTGCCGCCATTAGAAGAGCTTCCCCCCCGTGGAGCTGCTGCCCCCTCACCTAGGCCCTAGCAAGAAGCCACGTGGGGCAGACCTGAGCCAACCCACAGCCTGGAGCCAGGATCAGCTGTCCGGCAACATGGAGCAGAGCCACCCAGCTGAGCCCAGCCTGGGTCACCAGTCACAGTCGACTCACCCATAAGTAGGAGAGTAAGTGTTTAACATCATAAGCCATTCAGATTTTGTAGTTGTTACACAGCAATAGCTGACTGATACAGGGGCCATGCTGAAGCCTACTGACCTTCTCACCAATCTCTGTCCGGTCCCCACTGGGCAGGATTTCCAGGTCTGGGAGGAGGGCACAGGCTTCTATCACAGCCTTATAATACCGTTCCTGTAGCTGGCGTCCAAAAAGGATGTTTTCTCGGAGAGAAACATTCTGAATCCAGGCCTGCTGGGGGACGTAGGCCACTGAACCCTAGGAGGAAAGCGGAGAAGGAAGCAAGACAGACAGACTTGGTGAACAAGACAGCAGCCGGCCTACCCATCCACCAGGAGGGCCCTGCTTCACAAGACATTTTCATCACATCTATGGTTTTAACAAGAGGGAAGCCGAGTCCCAAAGGAATACAGTCACCAGGGCTGGGATCAGAGCCCATACTAGGTCAATCACTAGCCCCAACATTAGGAGTTCGAGAGCTGAAATCCTCGTTGACGAGATTACACTTACATGTTTAGTAACTATTCACTGAGTGCCTACAGCAGCGAACAAAACACTTAGCTCCACTATATTGTACACCTGTAACTTATAAAATATTGTACATCAACTATACTTCAATTTAAAAAATTGAAAAAGAAATTAAAAATAAAATAAATTTTAAAATAAACAACAACAAAAACCTCCTAACTCCCAAGAATGGGAAGTACCTGAATGATAAAAGAAAATGGTTTGATTATTGTTGTGGTAAATGTTAAGAGAGAAAAATATGAGACTTTTTAAAAGTCCTTTAAAAAGGGAGACTTAACCTATAATGGAAAAGAATCTGAAAAAGAGTATATATATTCACATACAGCTGAATCACTTTGCTGTACACCAGAAACTAACACAACACTGTAAATCAACTGTATATCAATAAAAAAATAATACATTTTTTTTTTTAAAAAAGGGAGACTTAGGGACTTCCCTGGTGGCACAGTGGTTAAGAATCCACCTGCCAATGCAGGGGACACGGGTTCGAGCAGTAGTCTGGGAAAGATCCCACATGCCGCAGAGCAACTAAGCCCGTGTGCCACAACTACTGAGCCCACGCGCTGCAACTACTGAAGCCCATGCACTCTAGGGCCTGTGCTCCGCAACAAGAGAAGCCACCACAATGAGAAGCCCGTGCACCGCAATGAAGAGTAGACCCTGCTCGCTGCAACTAGAGAAAGCCCGCACGAAGCAAAGAAGACCCAGCGCAGCCAAAAATAAATTTAAAAGCAATTTAAATAAAATAAAATAAAAAGGGAGACTTAGTTTGGGACATCAGGGAAGGAGTCCTTGAGGAAATTTCCTTGATGAAATTTAACCAAGGATGTCTGTATAAAAATTGTCCATTTCTAAAGTCTTTATTTCCACATAATATAAGGTGTCAAGAGTGGCATAAGAATAAAGGCTACGGGGAGGGCACTTGTTTTACCTATTTTAGTAATTGAAAAAAAATTTTAAACAAGCACTGACAGGTGAAAATAATTTGGTCTGATAGAAGAGGGAAGAGCACTTCAGTCGGAGGAACAGCACGTGCAAAGGCCCGGAGATGAGAGGAACTCGGCAAGTTCAAGGAATGAGAAGCCTGTTGTGAAGGGAACATGCTGTGAGGCGAAGACAGGCAGGAATGAGCTGGGAGGCAGGGGAAGGCAGAGGGGCTGGTGGTCCTAGTGAGGAGTATGGGCTTCACTGGAAAGGCAAAGGGGAGCCATCAAAGTTTCTTCAAAAAGGGATTCTAGAAGGACAAGGTTGGGAATGGAACCCAGGGAACCCAACTCTTCTCCTTCATTCTGAGATAAATAACCAAATTGCTGACTCCAGTATCCTAACTTAAAGGGGCCAAACTGTCACAAAGCCTCACTGTACAACCCACAGATAATTCAGACACAGTATGCACAAGCCCTACCAACTAGAATATTTAGGAAAAAAATAAACGTTTTAGACACATTTCTAACACTCCCCTTACCAAGGCAAAATAACCAGTCACAAATAAATCTATAACCTTATCAAACCAAATACTCAAGCACCCTCACTTTTTAGATCCATCATATCTTTGTAATTAAAGCGTTTTTACTTTAAAACAGTGGTTCTCTCCTGGGGGCAATTTTGCCCCCCCAGGGGACATCTGACAATGTCTAGAGACACTTTTGGCTGTCACAACTTGGGGCTGCCACTGGCATCTAGTGGGTAGTGGTCAGGGATGCTGCTAAACATCCTACAATGCACATGACAGCCTCCACAGCAGAGATTACCTGGCCTGACATATCAGTAGGGCTGCAGCTGTGGAAACCCGGGGTTAGTGAAACAGAACGCAATGTGGATCCCACCGTGATTTGGAATTTTCTTCCATTAACCTAGCTCACATTGCCCATTCATCTTACTTCATAATGTATAATTGAAAGTAATGACAGATCACTTCTTAAAACAAGGGCTAAATGTCATTAGTCTGGACCCAACTATTGTAATATACACTTTCTCTAAGGCACACTAGGCTCAAGGGCATCATATAATCGGCAAAGGATTTTGCTCTGAAATGAAAACAATGGCACAAACCAGCATCCCCAAAAGTAGATTCCAGGAGACAATAATTTTAGGGATTTAAGGAGTTGCTACACAGACAACCAAAAGATGCAGACAAATGTGTCTGGGACACGCTGGATTAACCAAAGTTAAATAGGTCTTTTCTCCTTGCAGGACTTCTCAGAGCCTTTACTTTATTAATGTTTCTTATAAGTCTCCAGGAGGGAGGGAATCAGAATATGCAGTATTTCCCAAGCTTGTTTGAGCCCAGGACTCTTTATTCCCCAAATATCCTGCAAGATGAGTTTGAGTTTGCTGCAGACCATGCGCCAAGAAATGCTTATCGAGTGCCCACTACATGCCGGGCACTATTCTAGGTGCTGAGACACAGCAGGAAATAAATGACACCACAATCTTGCCTCCTAGGATGGCACAGAGAGGAGGAGAAAGGATGAAGCTGTTCCCACTTAACAAGGTCGTCATAAAAGAGAACACAATGTTGCCCCTGGCCTCCCCCTTGGCCATTAGTTACCCCACCCCCACCCAGGCCTCCTACCTTGATAGCCACGTGTCCCTCCACCTTGTCCATCTCAGCCAAGAGCGCTGAGAGCAGAGACGACTTCCCACAGCCCACCTGGCCCACCACGGCCACCAGGGAACCTTCCGGAATGGAGAAAGTGATGCTGAAACGACACGACACACCCTGGGGCTCAGCTGGGGGTGCTCGGCCCGCCCAAGCTGGATGGACCCCTGAGTGGAGAGAGAGACAGAAGGCAGGGCTGTCGCGAGCCTTTGAGGTCTGGAAACTCCTCCCACCGCGTCTACGATGAGCTTAGCCCAGGGAACTGTCTCAGAGGCCTCTGGGCCTGAGGCCCGTGACAGGTGCCGGGATGCACCAGCATCTTAGAAAAGATCCCGCGGGACAGACCTGGGGGGCTGAGCCACTATAAGGGGGCGGAGCAGAGGGGATCAGCTTTGCCTGGGGGCGTGATGCAGGTGCCCAAGGGAGAGGACACCCCAAAACCAACTCTGGAGGAAGAGTGAGCGTGCCCCAGACGCAGGGGGCAGCCTGAGGAAAGGCCCATGGGTGTGAAATCACAGGCATGATCAGGGGTGGACACGTCGATGACACAAGATGAGGCAGGGAAAGGAAGGCCAGTCCTGAAGAGGTGGGTGGGTGGCAGCCAGACCCAAGAGGGCCTCAAAGGACACGCTTCCCAGCTGGGAGCCATGCAGGGGGTGAATCTGAGTTTCAGAAACACGTCTCTACAGAAATTGCCCTATATGGCAGCTAACAGTAACCGAAGTACAATAAAACAGGCTCAACAATGCCAGAAAGACTGGCCCCTCCAACGTGGACAGCAAAGTCGGAGCTGGGATTCCACCCACCCGGGGAAGAGCAGGTACGTCCAGGGCCTCCTTGGGTTCACCTACATCGGCTATCGGCTGCCTTCCAGCCACTGCTATTATGATTTCAATATATTGGTGGAAAGGCTGATGGATTTTGCTGCCATTGTTTAATTCTTGTGTACCTGTTGCGTGGTCACACTGATTGTTTTGTTCTGTGCCAGGAGGGGAATGAATTAAGGGGCCAGAACAGAACAGGAAGCCCAGTGAGGCAGCTCCTGTGATCGTCCAGGCGAGACAGGAATATCTTACAGGCTGAGGAGAAAAAAGGTTTGGATGGAGAAATTTGCAGGGGATTCAAGGGGTGAGGAAGGGTGACTGGAACAAGAGGGTAAGGTCTTTGAGACTGGAAGGATGGAGGCAGGGATTGGGGCACAGGTACAGACTATTTAGTTGTGAAGCAGGACTAGAGAGAAAAGCTAAAGTTGAAGCAGGCAGAAGTTAAGTTAGACACAAGAAAGAACTTCCTAAACAAGCAGTCCCATCAAGGTAGGTGTTAACACAGATTCTTTTCTCTGGAGAGTTTGACCCTTGCCCCTCCCCACGTCCCCAGATAAAATACAGCAATAATTTGGCTACCCAGTTAAGGGAGCAATTATTTAGGGGCATGGAGGATAAACCTGGCCCCTAAAAATGTCCCATGTGGCCCTGTGTTTGGGGGACTCCTTAAGGAGGCTTAAAAGAGCCCCTGGGCAAGGCCTCCAGTCAGAAAGAAATCAGAGGCAACTGACAAGTTACCCAGGGAATCAGGTCAATTCCCTGGATCCTGTGATTTGGAAAAATAAGGACTGGGGTGGGCAGGGTCCCAGATGTGGAAATGGTGTGAGAAAGGGTAAGCCAGGCAGCTGGGGGACCTTGGAGAGGATGGTGAACAATCCATCCCGACAGCAAATGTGAGTGGACAAGAATTCTTTTCAGCTGACCCAAGCCTTCCTGCCACCAGTGGTGGCATCACAACCTCAGACTCAGCCTGGCCAATGAGTGCCCTCAGTCTCTTCTGGCACAGTGACTGGCTCAGGGAGGGGCATTATAACCCAACTTGGGCCAATAAGAGGCAAGTGGGTCTCCTGATGAGGTAGGAGGGACGCTTAGGGTCAATGGGGGCCATCTGGATCATGAGGGGAGAGGACGTCTGAAAAGGAATCAGCACAGATGGAAGGGGAACAAAGACAAGATGGAGAGAGTCCTGATGGCATTGTCTGAGCCCCTGGATCCGTGTCCCTGAAAGGGAACCTGCTCAGTTACGTGAACCAGAAATTTCCCTTTGCTGCCTAGACCTATCCGCTATCTGTACAAGGTCTGTCACATACAGTCTGAGGGAACTCTCTGAGCCGGGCACACTCTCAGCTGCTTCTCCCTGAAGCCCAAGCAGGTGTGACTGGATCTATCTGACAGAGGAGCCAAACTAAGGCTCAGAAAGGCAGTGACCTATTCACGGTAACAGAGCTGGAGCGTAGCTAGAATTCAAACTTGTGTTTGCCCAGAGCCCCGTGGCTTTCTCCACGTCCCACTTACCCATGCAGTGTGGGAGGGTCACTCCTGGCCCAAGTGAACGTGGCATTCTTCACGGTGATGCTGTTTGTGGCCCCAGCTGGAAAGCACCAGAGACAATATGTCAGGCGTAGATGAAGCCACGGCCTGAGTGTGAACAGCAGGCTCTTAACTCTTTGCTTTTCCTCATCAAGTGGTTCAACTCCAGCTGCTAGCCACTCACGCTAGGCATTATCTGGTTACATCAGTCGCCGTTTCTAAAGAACTTCAACCAGCAGCTCTGGAGGCGGCCTCAGACCCAGAGAGCAGCAGGAAACCGCGAGAGGGCTCTGCCTTTGAAAGATAGGAGGCTGCACCATCTGGAAAGGTCGGGGGACCCCTGGGGGCCTCCCTCACTCAGTCTTGGGAGGTTCCGGCAGCTCTGGCTGGGTGTGTTGAAAAGAAGCCAAGGTCACGGGGCACAAGCAGTGCCCTCATGCAGATAGATGCCTGTCCATCAGCTTGGGCTGGCCCAGGGCCCTCAGTACACCTCTGGGGCCCCTCCTTTAACTCACCTCCCTGCATACCCCCCTCTCCCCCGCTCCCTCCAGCCACCCTGCTCACATCACAGCAAGCCAGTCTTCCTAAAACACAGGCCACTGTAAACTGTGCAAACTCAGGGATGGAACAGGAAGTCGGGAATCGTGGCAGAGGAGGGGAGGGTGCTTAAGACGAAGCCTGCGTTATATGGACCCTCTGCGATTCTAGCACCTTTGCCTTCATCTACTTTCGCTCCCCTTATTTTCTTTTCACTCCATGCCCCTCACTTACAAAAACAACTTTTGACTCAATTATGAGCCAACTTAAAACCATCTAGAGAGAAGATGGGGGTGTTTTCAAGCTGTCCAATGAAGAAATAAATTCCCCACCCATCAAAGAAACAACTGTGGAGAGAGGAAGTTACTGGTTAACCTAACTTAACCTCCCCCTCCCCCATCAACCCCCTGAAACAGAGAACAAGGAGGAAGCTGGAAGGTGCTATTAAAGGAATTTAAGAAAAGCCACTTGAGTCGGTCAAGCTAGAGGCTGCAAGACGTGGCCCGGAGCTGCAAACGGGGCCCCGCCTGGCACCCAGAGAATGTGGGTAAACATAAAGTCAAACCACCGTCAGGGCAGGAAGTGGGGCTGAGGCCTGGGCTGAGGCCCAGGGGTTTTCCAATGTGACTCCTGTAGTGAGCTGTGAATAATGTCAAGAGCTCGGAACCTCCTTGGCTGCCCCAAATTTCAGCCCTGTGTAATTCAGGGAAATTTGACCCTGGTAGATGGCATCATTCCGCATCGTGCATGCGTGCGTGCGTGTGTGTGTGTGTGTGTGTGTGTGTTCACATCTGTGTATGTGTGTGTGTGTGAGAAGGGGAGAGTGACTCGGTCCTCACACAGCAGAAACTGGACGACCACGGGCCAGGGACATCGGGAGGGAGATTCCAGCGAGCAGTGGTTCTCAACTCAGGGTGACTTTGACCCCCAAGGGACACGATGTCTGGGGACACTTTTAGTTGCCAAAACTGGGGCAGGTGCTACTGGCATCTAGTGGGTAGAGGCCAGGGGTGCTGCTCAACATCCTATAATGCACAGGACGCCCCCACAGCAAAGTGATCTTGCTCCAAATGTTGGTGGTACTGAGGCTGAGGAACCCTGCCCCCAGGCCGATTGCCTCTCACACATACTGGTGAAGGAACACATACCTTCACCAGTATGTGTGAAGGAACCCTGCCCCCAGGCTGACTGCCTCTCACACATACTGGTGATCTTCGTTTGGCGGGCACTGTGCTGGGTGTTTTCACGTCACTGAGGACATCTGAATGCCTGCTAGGTGCCAGGCACCGCTCACACATCATTACCAATATATACACACATTCATTCTCCTGACCATATCTATTGGGCTCGGGAGCCAGACTGTGTGGGTTCAAATCCCCGTGCTGCCACTTCCTAGCTGGAGAACCACAGGCAAGTTACTTAACTTCTCTGTGCCTCACTTTCCTCGTCTGTAAAATGGGACTGATAATGGGATCAACCTCACAGGGCTGTGATGAGAACATTATGCAAAACAGAGAGTCCTTAGAACAATGACTGACACATAGTAAGTGCTCAATAAATCTCAGTGCAGAGATGTCCTACAGTGGGTGAGAGCACAGATTCTGCTGACAGGCTGCAAGTGTGAATCCTGACTCTACTTCTTATTGGCCGTGCGAGTTACCCAGATGAGTCTCCTCATCTGTAGGTGGGGGCCCCTATCCCTGAGCTGCAGTGAGCAACGGACGGGGAGTACGGTGACGTCCTCAGGACAGAACACGCGTGGCGGGAGTGTCATTTCAGCAAAAGTGGCCACTACCATTAGTGCTATTAATATTTATTATTAAGTGCCTGGAAATCCCTGCTCAGGGGGGTTGACTAGGAAAGGATAAATTAATAAGCTATAAAGTAAACAAACCTACCAATAAAAATCCATGTAACACCCAGCCAAAGAGAGGGACCTTCATTTCCATTGCCCAGGTGGGAAAAGTGAGGCTCATAGCACTGAAGTGACCTTCCCAAGGCTGCACAGCTAGTGGGGGTAGGGGGTTGGTCAATCTCCAACATCCTTGATTTGCCAGTCCATCTGCCCAGTATGGAATCAAAGCCCAGGCCCTGGAACCCGGCCCTCAGGGGTGGACCTCTCCCAGGAAGGCTGCCTCTCAGCAAGAAAGCAAGATAACAGAAGTGCAAGTTCACCCTCCTGGGAAGACTAGGTAAAACCCTGCGCCCGCCCACTCTCCTAGGACACACCGTCTTTGATGGGCCATCGCTGGATGCTGTCGGGCTCCAGCTCCTCGTGGGAGAGGAAGATCCTGAGGCGCTTGAGGGAGACACTCGCCTACACAGAAAGCAACGACAAGGTGTAGTTATTTTGAAAAACGTCTCTGCAAAACAGACCGAGGCTAACTTACAGTGGTTTCCTCTGGGTGCAGAGGGGCCCACATCCTCCCTTATTTCTGAAGGTGCTGCAGTGCCACACCTTAGAATAAAAAACAAAAAGGTTTTGGTTCTTGTTTGCTTTCCTTTAAAAGCCCACACCGGTATTAAAAAAGATGGTGGGGGACTATCGTAGCTGACAAGGGACCTAAGAAACAACCGAAGGCAATGGCCCCGTTTAAGACAAACTTGTGACTCGGAGATAAACGTGTCCTGGAGATCGAATGCATGGCACGGTGGTTACGGCCAACAATACTGTATAATAAACTTCAAAGTTGCTAAGAGACTAGAACTTAATGGTTTCCCCCACAAAAAAAGAAATGATAATCATGGCGCGTGACAGGAGGGTAGCTGACGCTATGGTGATAACTGTATAGCAACATATCCACGGATCCAATCACCACATTGCACACGTTGAACACAATGTGAATTATGGTTCTACAAAAATAAATTTTAAAAAAAGCAAAGGTCCTGATTCAAACAGCCCAATGGTAAGGACATTTCTGAGATAATCCAAAAAATTTTAATATGAACTGGGTATTAAGAGATTACTGTTAATGTTGTTAGGTATGATAATGGTGTTATACTTATGTAAGAAGAAATTCGTGCTGAAGTATTTATGGGTGAAATGCCCAGAGGTCTGTGATTTGCTTTAAAATTCTTTGGCAAAGGAGAGAAAGTAATGAAGGGAAGAAGGAAGACAGAAAAACGATTAGACAAAGTAACTGTGGCAAAATGTTGAATCTGGGTGACAGGCACACAGCACTCTCACGCTATTCGCTCCACTTCTGTGTATATTTGAAATTGTTCATAATAAGAAGGGGTTTTACTTGCTTATTTTTTTTAAAAAAAAACCTTGACCAGGGCTTGTACAACCAAATCTTCATCTTAATTTGTCTATGTGTCTAAGCAAAGGGTTTTCACAGGAAAATGTGCAAGGCTAGGGAGAAGCGTGTGACAAACGCTGTCGGCAGCAAAGTGCAGGAGCTTCAGATGGTGCACGTGTGACTGAGCGGTTCCCTCTCGTTACAGAACCACTGCAGGGACTGGGGGGATTCTAGGGGGGCCAGCTGGGGTTTTTCAAATGGTGAGCCAAGGTCTGTGAATGGGCTGCAAAACCAATTTAGTGGGTCAAAAGCTGCATTTTTTGAAGAAACAGAACAGGGTAAGGTAGGGCACGGTGGAACAGACTCGATCAGAATAGAAGAGGATCAAATGTTTCAGAAAGAATCTTGCAGCGCTTAGGACAGCCCAGCTGCAATAACTTGTTTCATACACTCGAGTGTGCGTCGAGAAGTAAAACGTATGTCTCTTTGGGGCAGGACCGAGAAAGCATGAAGGCCACTAGTCTGAGCCTTGATAAGCCCCCTGGCCACAGTGGGATGGGTTGCACAGAGGGAGCTGCATCCAGGGGGATTTTCATGCCCTTTTGCTTTGTTTCCCCCAGAGACCCCCCTCTCTGAAGTTCCCCAGCCTTGCCTGTACCTGCACGATGCTGCTGATGACCATGGGGAGAATATTCAGGGGGAAGCGAAGGATGTTGAACAAGGCCAAGGACACGAAGGCCTTCTGGGCATCCAGGATGTTGTTCTTGTCGATGGTCACGTAGACGGCAAACGTACACAAGGCCACCTGCAAGCAGAAGGCCAAGTCAGAGTCCCAGCCACAGAAGCAGTGACATGCGCCCGGGGAAGTCGCTCCAGCCTCCTGGTGTGAGTTGCAGGGGCTGATGACTGGCCTCTGGAGGCAGCAGAAATGCCAGAACAGTGTCTAGCACACAGCAGGCACTCACTAAACACCCAGAGAACGAACTGGATAAACCAATGACCAGAAGCCAAAAGTCCGGGCCATTCCCACCAACATTCTCCATGGGACACCGGATGGCATTCTCAGGGTCCCTCAACATCACCAAGCATGATCCCAGCTCCAGATCTTTGTTCTTGCAGTTCCCGCTGCCCGAAATGATCTTCCTATCCAGACAGTGGCCTGGTTACTCCCTCTTCCCGTTCCAAGAGGCTGCCCCACCCAAAACAGCCCTGCTACCTCCCTCCATCCCTTCATCCTGGTTTACTTTTCTTCATAACACCTATCACTGCCTTACACTGTAAGATTATAGGTATTTATTGTCTGTCTCCTGCAGTGTGAAATGCAAACTCCACAAAGGCAAGGACGTTTGTACACGGCTGTATCCTCAGGGCCTAGAATGACCCCGGGCACATAGAAGCACCGAGACCTCACGTAAGTCACCTCCTCTCCCCATGCCTCCGACATCTCATCAGTGAAATGGATGTGGAGGATTCGTGCTACTGTTGAAAGCTCCTTCCAGCTTAGAGTATAGGGTCTTATACCCCCAGGAAAGGAACATAGGTTTTCAAAAAAAAAAAAGAAAGAAAAAAAAAAGAAAGGAAAAAAAAGGAAAACAAACAGCCAAGGGTCTCCCAAAGGCTACTCCCTTCCCCACAAAGTCAGACCTGCCTTAAGCCTTGCAGTGGGGCCTGGGATTTCAATTCCCAGGCAATCGGAATTTGGGTTCAGTTGTTTGAGACAGCAGCACCTCATTTCCCTCGCCAGGAAAAAGGAAGGACCCCTGAATAATCCAAGGCTGGGCTGCGTGGCTTAGGAGGGGAAAGATCAACAGGTGGATCTCCATGCCCCGCCCACCTGCTGGCCCCCCGAGCAGTGCCAGGTGTTGCCAGAGGAGGCTAATAACATCCCCTCTGAGATCACCTGGTATACACCACCAAAGCAATCTGGAAAACCGTGCACCCCAGCAGATGGGCAAAAGTCTCTACCCCATGCTAGTCCCAGGCGCCAAGGGCCATTAAAGGCTTTCCCTAGGGGAAACAAATTGCCTGGGACCTCATTCTTGAGCTCAGGGCAGATGTCCGTCAATCAGGAGACTGCCGAGTGGCCAATATTCTGGTGTGGATGCGGTCCAGGGTATTTTCAGGGTCTCAGCTGCCTCATTTCTTTGTTACCTATTACAAGGTCCTACATCTTAAAAATTAAATCCATAAGCTCTGCCTGTTTATCAGCTGTGTGACCCTGAGCTGTGATGTCACCTCAGCTCTCCAAAGGAGCCTCTGTTTTTTCATCTATAAAATGGGGATCATGATACGTATTTTCAGGGCTTCTGGCAGCAAGGAATCAGGCACTTGTGCAGAGTGCTAAGCCCTGTGCCTGGGGCACAGTAAAATGCAGTAGATGGTGGCTGTTTTAGTTCTTGTTTCAGGACTTGGTCCAAACTCCTTGGACTATTTTTCCAAAGAGTCTATTAACTGGGTCCCAAGAACAAGGCACTGGAAAGCAGAGCTAGTTCCTGTTCTGGTTCTGACATTAACAAGTGAGGTGACCCTGAGGGAAGACAGAAATTTTCCAGGATCCTTGGCCAGGAGGGAGGTTGGATGCTCAAAAAGCCACTGACACCCGATCCCTGGGATGGCTGCACACACAGGTCCCCTCCTCCAGGTAGTGATGATGTACTTGCCTCTTAGCCAGAGATTCTCCTCATTCAAAACTCTCTAAACACATCCACGCAGAGGAACAGTATTCAGCCACAAAAAGGAATGAAGTGCTGACGCCCACTACAACATGGACGAACCCAGAATGGACGAACCCAGAAAGCATGATGCTAAGTAAAAGGAGACAGACACAGAGGCCACACGTGTTATATGATTCCATTTAAATGAAATACCCAGAAAAGGCAAATCTACAGAGACAGAAGGTAGATTAGTGGGTGCCCGGGGATCGGTGGGGGGGGAACAGGGGGGATGGGAGTGACTGCCAGTAAGTACAGGGCTTCCTTCTGGGGTGATGAAAATGCTCTGGAATTAGACAGTGGAGATGGTTGGCCAACCTTGTGAACATACTAAAACACCACTGAACTGTACACATAAAAGTGGTGAATTATATGTCAATAAAAATAATAAATTTTTTGGGCTTCCCTGGGGGCGCAGTGGTTGAGAGTCCGCCTGCTGATGCAGGGAACACGGGTTTGTGCCCCGGCCCGGCAAGATCCCACATGCCGCGGAGCGGCTGGGCCCGTGAGCCATGGCCGCTGGGCCTGTGCGTCCGGAGCCTGTGCTCCGCAGCGGGGGAGGCCACAACAGTGAGAGGCCTGCATACCGCAAAAAATAATAATAATAATAATAGTAATAATAATAAATTAAAAAAAATAATCTCTCCAATATCAGTCTATTTTACTCAGTATAGAAGCCAAAGTCTTGACTCAGGCTCAGGGGCCACCTGATTCATAAACGTCCCTTTTCTGAACTCTTGTGCCCTCCTCTCCTACCACTCTCCCACCTCCTTCCCTCTGTTCCAGCCCCGCTTGCCTCCACGATTATTCCTTTTTGGGGCAGCACAGGGCCTCTGGGCCTGCCTCAGGGCCTCTCACTCTTCCCTCTCCCTGGTCAGGCCCCTGACCACCACTAGGTTAAGACTCAAGTATCAGCTTCTCAGTGAAGGCTCTGATCATCCCTTTTTTTGTTGTTGTTTGTTTTTTTTGGGTTGTTTTGGCTGCGCTGTGCAGCATGGGGGATCCTAGTTCCCTGACCAGGGATCGAACCCGTGGCCCCTGCAGTGGAAGCACAGAGTCTTAACCACTGGACCACCAGGGAAGTCCCATGATCATCCTATTTAAAAACTGCAAGCCCTCCCTATCACTCTAACCAGAACCTTTTTTTCCCATAGCACTTATGACAGTTTAGCATACTATATATTTACCATGCCTGGTGTGCATTATCTGTCTCTCCCAGTTAGAATGAATGAACACCCCATGAGCGTGCGGATTACTGTCTTTAGTATTCACTGCTCTATCATCAGTGCCTAGGACAGCACCTGGATCATGGCAGATATCCAGGAAATGTTTGTGGGTGGGTGGATGGATGGGTGGGTAGACAGGTGGATGGAGAGGTAGGTAGATGGATGGGTAGGCAGGTGGATGGATTTGCCCAAGGGCAAGAAAGCACACACTCAAGGGTGTCTCTTCAGCAACAGAGAAAATCAGGCCTCAGGCATCTCACCACCAGAATATCCCAGCTCCACTGGCCCAACTGATAGGGTGGCTGCTGGCAGCACAGGAAGCGCATTAAGAGGGAGAAACATCACGTGGCCCCCGTCAAATCCACATCATCCACTTCTCCAGGAAGCAGAGGTCACTCATTCATCCATCAGCTATTAATTGGGCACCTACTGTGTGCCAGGCACTGTGTGAGGCAGCCTTGGAGATCCTGAGACGCACGGTCTAGTGGGGAACAGATATGCACCAGGGTCTCTCTAGCACGAGTGTCTGCAAGTGTGCGGAGGCGGCCGGGGAGCTGGGGTTTGCTACAGCCTTATAAAGGGTGAGAGGGTCCAGGATGTGAAAAATCCTTCGCAAACAAGGAAGACTACCGCCCCCCTCTAAGTGCTAAAAGAGCCTCCCCCCATGCTGAGAAATGGGGCAAATGACGGAACCAACTTCCCCAGCCCAACCCCTAAAAATCTGCCATCTCTCCATGAGGACATCTGTTCCTCCTGCCTGGTCGGCATCCACTCTTGTTGCTGGTAACAACACATCAGTTTTCCTTTGGGTAGCTGAACCTCCCCCAACCTCAGTCCATGAGCTTCAGCCACAGATGAACTGCCCATACCAGACCCGACCCCAACCTCCAAAGAAGCCACATGACCCAGGCCTGGCCAATCCAAGCATCCCTGCTCCCTGGCCCCAGTGATTCAGGGACAAGCATGCAGCCAACCGCAACTGAGACTCAACCCCACAGCTTTGCAGGAACTAATGGGAAAAGGGGAGCTCTCTCCTTGGTTACTGTGGTTACTGAGATGACAGAATCAACTGTAATCACATGGCGAGTTCCCATCTGACAAAGAAACCACCATGGAGAAAGCAGAGCTGGGAGACAGAGGAGGAATTATACCCAACATTATCTCTGGAGCACCTAGGTCCAGCCACACCCGAAACCCCAGTCGTGCTTAAAACCAGCACCTTCCTAGACTTTTCAGTTTTGTGACTCAAAAGTCTCCCTTTCGTTTTTTTACTCTAGTGGACCTACATTAGGTTTCTACCACTTGCAAGATAGTTCCTGACTAATACAGGTTATTCAAATCTTCTGTCCATTCATTTAGTCAGTCATTCCCCTACATAGACCTAGTGAGTGGGTACCACTTGCCAAGTCCTCTGTGTTCTAGGGATACAAGCAGAAAAAGACAAGGTCCATGTATGTTCTGGTCAGCAGAGAACTGCACAACAGGTAATCAGCGTATGGAATGATAATTATTCTAAAGAAGGGACAGACATACAAGGCACAGAGAAGGCAAGAAGCTCACAAATCTTCCAAGAGAGCAAATGTTAAATACTGACAGGGATGCTATTTTAGGAAAGTGCACTAGGTGGACATGAGGACATGATAAGTGCCAGGCTCTATATTCCAGAAAAACAGTCCCATCAATCCTGCCACATGGCATCCCTATTCCTGCCTGACCTCCCCAGGCCTCTGTCTTCCATCACATCTACCAGTGTGGGTAAACACCACATCATCCTTGAAGTGCAGGAATTCACCAGTGGAAAGCACATGGAAACACCTTCCAAGGGAACAGAAGGCCACATATTTTATCCTAATGTAGTCAGAGGCTTCAGTGTCTCGGTCTGGGCCAAGGTTCCCGACTGACCCCTGGGCTCATCTGTTTCATGCCAAACAGCTGAACCAACACTGTCTCTGGAAGCCCATCATCACCCAAAAACTTTATGGCAAATTCAAGGTCAAGAAAAGCCAGTCCCACTCTTAAGCATCTCTTGCCGTGGCCTCCTAACGGAAGCCAGGGCAGGAGATGATATTTGAAGGGTTAGCAGTGTGGGTGACAAGCTGGAAACTGCAGGTTTTGTCAGAGGATCTGATGTACAGAGCAAAGGGTTACGGGGAAAGGGGGAAAGGTCCCCTTCGTCCTAAGTGTAACACAACCCACTGACAAAACCTTATTGCCTGACCCTTCGGACTGCAGATCTTTTCCTATTTAAAAAAAATGCAATCCAAATGCCTTGAATTTCTGTGTGACTTGCTATCACTTGCATAAAAGTAAAGTAAATAAAAGAGATGTTTAAGTTTGATTACATTTATTGCATATAGTCAATGTTATGCTGGTATACATGCAGGCTCTCTGGAAATACACAAAAGAAACCGGTGTGGAGAAGGAAGCTAGGTGATGGGGGTCTGCGGAGAAAAAGAGCAGTGCCTTCCACTACAGACTGGTGGTTCTCAACTGGGGGACATCTGGCAATGTTTGGAGACAATCAAAAATTGACTGTCATAACTGGGGAGGTGGAGGGGAGAGGTACCACTTGGCGTCTAGTGGGTAGAGGCCAGGGATGCTGCTAAGCATCCTACAATGCACAGGACAGCACCACAACAAAGACACAATGAATTATTGGGTCCCAAATGTCAGCAGCGCTGGGGGTGAGAAACGCAGCTACAGACCCTCTTTGGAACAGCTTTAACTATTTTTGCCATGTGAATGCATCACTTTCTGTTTTTAAATTAAAATGTCTCATATATACAATAAGGACTATTTAGCAGTTGTATTTAATACATAGAGACTATTTAACAGTTTAATAAAATAGAACGAACATCCTCTATACCATCCGGTCTTATATTTTTACTTTGGAAAAAAACCAAGAGAGTCACTAAAGACCTGAGGAAAGCTGGAGAGACTGGAGTACGAAAAGAATCAGACAGCAGACCCTTCCAGCCTGGAATGCTGGAGGGGAGCTGGAGGGGATCTTAGGGAACACTGAATCTCAGAACAGCTAAGAGACGTCGCTGCTTGGGCCAACTCCAGTCAATTGGCAGCAGTCACCTGGAGGGTTGCTTGAACATAACTCAGTGGGAGAGAGCACCACGACAGACCGGGGGTGTCTGCTGTGGTACGGGGGCGGGGGAGGGCAGGGCCCGAATGTCACATCCCTGGGGCCTAACCCCTTCATCTTTCACGCTCAAAAACCCAGAGGCGGGGAGGTGAAATGACCACTGCAGGTCACACCATGAGCTGGCAGGAGAATTCAGCAGGGGTCCTGACTCTCAACAAAACAATCCATTCCTCTAAGCCAGGGCTCAGCCAACTATGGCCTGTGGTCTACCCATCTGTGTCTGGGCCCATGAGCTTAGGATGGATTTTATATTTTTAAAGGATCAAAAAAAAATCAAAATATTTCATGACACATGAAGAGTGTATAAAATTCAGATTTCAGTGTCTATAAAGTAATGTTTACAGGAACATGGCCATACCCATTCATTCCGTGTTATCCACAGCCGCTCCTGCACTACACGGGCAGAGGTGAGCAGCTGCAACAGAGATCGCATGGCTCAGAACACCCAAAATATTTTCTAGCTGGTCCTATACAGAAAATGTTTGCTTACTCCTCCTTTTTCCCAGCGTTTCTCAAACTTTAATGTGCATACAAATCACCCAGGGGGAGACTGCTAATACTCAGGTCTGTCTTAGCCTGGTCTGGGGTGGGGCCTGAGAATCTGCATTTCTAATAAGCAACCCCGTGATGCTGGTGCTGCTGGTCCATGGGCCCCACTGTTGAGCACAAAGCATGGATCCCAAACCAAGTGCATCAGCAGCACCTGGGAACATGTCAGAAATGCAAATACTCGGGGCCCACCTAGACCGACTGGATCTGAAACTCTGAGTGGGGCCCAGTGAGCTGCATTTTAACAAGCCCTCCGGGTGACTGGGAGGCCCACACGACTTTGAGCATCACTGATTTCCACCACACTGCCTTGCGTGCGGGTTAAGACTCTGGGAGACATTAAGCTGAGCCTAAAAAAATCCAGCGTCAGAATGGGTACACTCTGACAAACACTGAAAAGGCAGGAGTTTCCTTCAACATTCCACCTGCAACTCCACTGTGATGAAGCGGATGGTAGCCTAACAGAAAATCCTGTTTCTAATTTATGAAAATGTGTGGTTTTAGTCATAGGACCTTCCCATAAGAATATATATTTGCCAACATAGCTAAGTAATACTTATTAGCAGAACATTTTTTAAAAAGAATGACATAGTTAATAATACAAAGACACAGAGAAAAAATAAACATGGGCGGGGGCATGATCTGAAGTCCTCCGTAACCATGCTCAACTGTCAACTGAGCTTAAAGGGTTTCCACAGTCCATACAGTCTCCTGGTTTGGGGCCAGCTTTGGAAAATAGTTAACTCACACTATTGTCTTTAAACTTTTCAAAGTTGGCCGGCTAGGGATAGACCCATTACAGTACCCCAAGACATGCATATGGGCAATGTGGGTCAAAACTGCAAAGAAGAGGGACCAGCCTAAAAGGCCAGCAACGAGAGATGGGTTAAGTCAACTACAGCACATCCATGCTCTGGACAAGCATACATCATTAAAACAGACGAAGCAGGGCTTCCCTGGTGGCACAGTGGTTGAGAGTCCGCCTGCCGATGCAGGGCACATGGGTTCGTGCCCCGGTCCGGGAGGATCCCACATGCCGCGGAGCGGCTGGGCCCGTGAGCCACGGTCCGCTGGGCCTGCGCGTCTGGAGCCTGTGCTCCACAACGGGAGAGGCCACAGCGGTGAGAGGCCCGCGTACCGAAAAAACAAAAAAACAGACGAAGCAGATCTGAATGCATGAACTGAGAGATTACGTATCAAGTCCAAAGGTCTAGAACACCATGTAAGTATGAGTCCATTTGAATATATTACAAATATTTTAAAAATATCTATATGCATAATTTTCCTAAAAAGACATACGAAACTGTCACTTTGGAGGAAAGGGACAGATGGAGGGGAGGACAATATACTTTTCATTTCATAACTTTCTGTACAGCTTGAATTTTTTTTCAGTGAATGACAAATATTTGTTGAGCGCCTATTATGCACCATTTTAGGCACCAGGATACAGCAGTGAACAGAAGAAATCCCTGACATTCTAGTGGAGAGAGGCAGACAATTCATGAAATATTAAGTGACTTTCAGAGTATGTTTGGCATTGACACTTGAAGTGTGCTCCACAGGTCACTGCCAATCCACGGTTTGTGACCAGATGCCAGTAGATAAGGAGCTGATACCATAACGTAGCTCAACTATGGCACCAAGCACGCATGTAGTTCAGCTGACATTTTTTTTCTTAGCAAGACTTTTTCGGGACTTCCCTGGTGGCGCAGCGGTTAAGAATCCACCTGCCAATGCAGGGAACATGGGTTCAAGCCCTGGTCCAGGAAGATCCCGCATGCCGCGGAGCAACTAAGCCTGCGCGCCACAACTACTGAGCCTGCGCTCTAGAGCCTGCGAGCCACAACTACTGAAGCCCGCGTGCCTAGAGCCTGTGCTCCACAACAAGAGAAGCCACCGCGATGAGAAGCCCGCGCACCACAACGAAGAGTACCCCCGCTCGCCGCAACTAGAGAAAGCCTGTGTGCAGCAACGAAGACCCAACACAGCCAAAAATAAAAATAATTAATTAATTAAAAAAAAAAAAAGACTTTCTCAATGAAGGAAGCAGATGGCAGAAGTTTACATTACACCACAAACTTCTCATCTTATCGTGAATCTGTAACAAACAGTTCCTGAACTAGCTACTTTGAGTATCCCTGGGCTGGAAGTTGTAAATGCTGTGAATAAAACAAAAGGTGGGAGTAGCATTATTAAAAAGGAGTGGTTGGAGAAGGCCTTGCTGACTTGCTGAAACAGTGACTTCTGAAAAATATTTAGGCATGACAACACAATAAAACATCAAACAGTGTGGGCCAGGATAAACTTGGCTTCACTCACCAGGAAAGGTGTGCAGACCCAGGTGAAGGTCCCCACGGCGGCCAGGTAGGCAGATTTCTTCAGCACCTTCAGCTCCTCCTGCCTGATGGCCAGTACCTTGTCTTTGAATGCCAGCTCCCAGGCGTAAAGCTTTAGCACTTTGATCCCATTCAGAATTTCATTCATCAGCTTAATCCGATTGTCTTTGCTCTTCATGTGGGCCACCTTCGAAGAGAGGAGCAGTCAATCCCACACCTGGGGGCTGGCTGCTCACTTCTGGCCCTGGCATCAGACCAACTCTCAACAACCCCCACCTATTAAAAATGGGCCGTCCTAAGGGTGGGAAAGCTGGCCTGCAACCCCTATGAACCCTAACTCTTGACCCTGAGAGCACTCCAAAGGATTCTTTTTTCAAGGGAAAAATAACTGCTTCGAATCACATTAAATTTGACATCAGAGAAACCTCTTAAATTCAGAAGGGAGGAAGAGAGGCAAGAAAAACCTTTCAGGTACCCAGGGAGGAAGGGGCACATGCCCTACTCTGCTGATCTAAACCGAGAGATGATATTTATTTTTTCTTCCATTTTCTTATTTTCTTTATTGCTTTTCAGGCATTACATGGTTGTTAAAATGCTGAAGTGTTTCTGTACCAGCTAGCACTGGTTCTGACCATTTGGGTGCCCATGCTGCACAGCTGTTAAATATTTTGAATGCCACCTGGCATTTTCCTGACGCCAGGCACTTTTCTAAGCTTTTCAAGTGCATTTAGTCCTGCTCACGAGAACCCTATCATTAAGTGTTATGTCATTCCTGGGTCACAGAAGAGGACAGTTTAAGCAACGTGAGGTCAAAGCCAGAGACTGAAGCCATTTCAGAGGTGGGCCGTTCAGGGAAGAGGCTAAGAGTCGACACAGCCCCATGCCCCGCCCACGCCTCTCCCCCCTCCTCCCCAAACCTCATTCCAACAGCCCCACGTCCTGCAACTCTTCCCTCCTTCAGCATCACCAGCGCGGCCAAGCTCTCTCATTTGAAATTCCACAGGCACATCATAAATAGCCATCAGTGGGGGAGCAGAGGAATGAACTCTGGCCTGTCTCTGCTATGAACCATCAGGCACGAGTTCAAGACAATGAAGTCAGACCACATGGCATGCTGCAGAAAGATCCCCCAGGCATGGCGTCGGACGATAAAATCAGTCTGCCAAACAGGCCTGTTTGTGTTAAAATATATATGGTGATAACACCACGACACACACACACATATACACACCAAGCCTAACTATATAGTTAGTCTGATCTCTATATAAACACATAAAAAGGATTTGCTAGAAGGATTTGCTTCAATGTGTTCACCGTGGCTAAGAGGACAGGGAAGAGGGGCTTCCCTGGTGGCGCAGTGGTTAAGAACCCGCCTGCCAATGCAGGGGATACGGGTTTGAGCCCTGGTCCGGGAAGATCCCACATGCCGCAGAGCAACTAAGCCCGCGCGCCACAACTACTGAGCCTGTGCTCTAGAGCCCACAAGCCACGACTACGGAGCCCACGTGCCACAACTACTGAAGCCTGTGCGCCTAGAGCCCGTGCTCCACAACGAGAGAGGCCACCGCAATGAGAAGCCCGCACACCGCAAGGAAGAGTTGCCCCCGCTCGCCGCAACTAGAGAAAGCCTGCGTGCAGCAACGAAGACCCAACACAGCCAAAAATAAATAAATAAATAAAATTAATTAAAAAAAAAAAAAGAGGACAGGGAAGGGGACATGCCCTTTTAATCTATATACTTCTGTATTATTTGAACTTTCTTTTATAATGAAAAGGCATTCACTCTGTTACTTGAGTATTTAAAAACTTTAAAAATACAAAGTATCTCTGAAAATAAAGAGTTTAACCCTGCGACCAGCATAAGGAAATGGGGAGAAAAGCAAAGGGTGATCTTTGCTCAGCTCTTGAAAATGCACACACACAGAAAGGAATACACCCATGGGAAATACGAAATCTCTTGGAGGCTCACAGATGGGACTTTAGTCACTGGCCCATGAGGTCTAACTATTTCGGGAGCTCTCAACCTCAGCGACCCAACGTAATAACCTGGGAAGCTTTAAAAACTCCCAATGCCCAAGCCTCACTCACATTAGATGAATCAGAATCCCCAGAATTGGGCCTAGGCATCAGCATTTGTTAAAGCTCCCCAGGGGGTTCCCACAGGCAGACAAGGCTGAGACCCCCAAGGCCTGTGCAGAAGGAACTCAACTAACACCCAAGTGGAAAGGCCTTAGGCAGGGGTGCAGCTTGGAGCCCTGTGCAGACACACCCCCTACCTGGTAGGTCTTGGTCTTCATGGCCATCACTGCATTGAGGGGAACCATGAAGATCATCACAGCCACTCCAGCCAGAACGGAGGGGCCCAGGTTCTATGGAAGGAACAAGAACAAAGGCCTTAGCATGGGGCTTCCACGGGCTGAGCCACCCAGTGTAGCCACATTACTTTTCAGATTTATCCGGGAGCATCCCTTGGGGTCCCACAAACCCTGTAAGAACGTTCAAGGCCACAATCCTTTATCTGAAACCCCTGGGACCAGGTTGAGTTTTGCAAATGAGAACTTAAGGATTTCAGAAAGGTAACAGGATGTGGAGCAGAAAACAGTGAACATGGCCCACCTGACGGCTTATCTTGTTCAAAGGTCCTTGGCTGGTGCCTGGGTGCTTGGATTTTGGGAGTGTTCCCACCATTCTCAGAACTGATAAGAGTGACTCACTGCGCCTAAACTGTTTGCATGAACAATATGGTTTCTGCTGATTAACCCCTTTTCCCTCTGGGAGTCTGGAAGTTTGGTCTGTGCCAGGCAGAGGCTGCCGGTGTGACCAGCCCCCAGTAAAAACCCCGGGGCACAGGGTCTCTCCTGAGCTTCCCTGGCTGGTAACATTTCACATGTGCTGTCATAATTGTCACAACTCGTTGCTGGGGAATTAAGTGCATCCTATGTGACTCCAGGGGGAGAGGATTCTTGGAAGCTTGTCCTTGGTTCCCTCCGAACTTTGCTAATCTTGCTGTAATAAGTGATAGCTATGAGTCCTCCTAGCAAATCACGAACCTGGTGGGGTCTCGGGGACCCCTGACACAGGTAGATATGCCTGTATATTGCACCTCCACAGGGCCCTGGCACAGTGCTCCAGAAGCAAACGCAATGATTTTTTTCAGTAGCAAAATAGGAATATTCCCACGAGAGGGATAATCAAAATTATAAATCACACATCAGTTCAAGTCAAGTCTTGCCACCAAATAAGTTAAGAAAAACTTTCAATTTTCAGAGCTCTTTAATTTGAGGACTTGTAGATAAGATCCTGTAGACAGTTCTATTATCGCATTTGCAGATAAGGAAACTGCATCTCAGAAAGGTTAAGTGGTCATGACTAAGACAAGATACAGATCAACGTTTTTCAACTTCCATGTTACACAAATAAAGAGAGACAGCCTACAAGGTCCGTCCAGTGCACACTTGCTTAGCTGAGACGGATGGAACTAGAGGGTAAGCGTGTTAGCCCCTTCCAAGGAGTCACCCTCGGGGTCTCCAGTCCTAGTTACCAAAAAAATGCTGCTACCGCTTGTTTCTGTGATGGATCTCTGCTCAGTGAAGACTAATCCACCTCTAAGCATGAAGGTGATTTCTACCAACAATCTAAAGCATTGGGAAACAATTCTGAGAGCAAAGCATAGTAACTAAAAGATACCAAGCACGTCGCTGCACCATGTACTGTTCAGGGAACACTACCTGCGCTAATTTATTCAATTATCCCAACATCACTATGATGAGGTTCCCTTATTATCACCAGTTTACAGATGAGAACACCAAGGCTTAGAGACGTTAAGTAATAAGGTCTGGAAGAGGCAGGATCTGAACCCAGGCAGCCTGATTTCAGAGCCACGCTGTCCCCCATTATCTTATGTCGTGTTTTTGATTGTCAGAGAGAGAAACCCTGGTTTTGGTCTAAAGCAGCGGTTCCCAACCAGGGAGGACTATTCCCCCAGGGGACATCTGGCAACATCTGGAGACTGTCACAAGCAGTGGTGGGAGTGTGGGGGAGGGGAGGTGGGGTGTTACTGGGATCTAACGGAGAGAGGCCAGGGATGCGGCTAAACATCCTACAATGCAGAGGACAGCCCTCAACAAGGAAGAATTATCCGGCCCCAGATTATCAGTAACACATTCAGCAACTGTCATCTAAAATAAAGCAATTTTGTACTGGGTCACAAATCAACCCTGAAGGCAATTCTAAAAGAAGTGTTCTATGGCAGCACTTTCTGGGGAAGGAGATGCCCCAAGACATCTGCTATAGATGGAAGAAGTCCATCTAACTGAGAGGGAAAAAGAATCAGTGGAAGTTGCATTTGTCACAGCCTTGAAGTTTGGGTGGGATTCCATCAGTAGGGAGGAAAGAGGAAAGGGAATTCCTGGTGGAAGGAAAGACACGTGCAAAGGCCCAAGGGTAGAACAGAATAAGGCACATATTAGGCTGTAAACATCTTTGCTTGTCATCTTTATCTTTTGGGAACTGCCCTTCCCCGTGTGGAAGGGCTGTCAATCACACCTCCACCCCTTCCACAGTGAGAGAGAGTATGTGACCCAGGGTGGCCCATCAGAGAACTCTGCCTATTTCACAGTGATTGGTTCAGGGATGTGAATAGGACTGTGCCGAGGCAATCAGAGTGCCCCCTGGGACCCGGCTGAGACAAAGAGGAATGCAAAAAGGAATCTCTTTTCTCTGGCACCACTATCTGTGAAGATGATATAAGCCCAACACTATGGAAGCCATTTGAAGAAATCCCACTGAGAATGAAGTCAACTCGGAGAAACACAAGGCTAAGAAATGATAAGAGTATGAGACTGAATTCTTACAGCACTGCTTGAACTCCTGGATCCATCCCTACCTGAAGCCAGACCCCGGACTTTTCAGTTACATGCACCCATAAAATTCCCTTTATTTGCTTATATTACTCTAAGATGCATTTCTATCCCCTGCAACCAAGAGACTCTTAACCAACATAACCTGGGACTTGTGAATAAATGAGTTTGGTTAGCATTTGGGAGGATACAGAGGGAGAAATACAATGTGTATGTTATAGGGTTGTTAACTACATACACTGTCAAGAAGAGACAAATGCAAATGAATACCATGCCACCCTAGAGAACATAACCCAACAACTGAAGAAAGGAATAAAATATCCAGGAACTGGCTGACAGGCCAGAAAATAAAATGTGAATGACGGCAAGAAATGCCAGTGAGCTACAGAGCTTCTTATCACTGACACCCACTCACTTGCCCCCAATGCCCACACATGGAGGCCCCTCCCCACGCGCCACAGGAATGACATCAAACACACACCAGCCACAGGAGGTAGAGGGCAAGGATGACTTGCAGAGGAGCTGACCAGATCATGTTAATGTACGTGGCCAGGTCCATGAACCTCTGGGCATCCACAGACATGAGGTTGACGATCTCCCCGACGGTGGACGATTTTCTGGCTGAATTGGTGATCACCAGGGCCTGGAGACAAAGGAGAGGGAAAGA